CCCCAAACAAGATCCCGGTGCCATCCACAAGAAACCATGGGCTCGGTTCCTACCGCTGTTTTTGTGCTCGCACCTTTATCGGCGGTCATCCTGCACGAGTTCATTTTGCGACGAGTGGAAGTCGACCATTTGACCCTTCAGATCCTTGGCCTAGCGATTACCGCATACTGGGTTCTATCATATTACACTGGATTCATCGCTGCGACACTGGTGACGAGTTCCTTCTGGGTTCCACTATGGCTGTACATCGGAGCGTACCGTGCCTTCTTTCACCCACTCAACGACTACCCTGGACCTTGGGCTGCGAAACTATCGAGATGGTGGGCCGTCAAGCAGACATATGACAGCAGCTTGCATTACCATCGAGTCCTTCAGCGGCTGCAAGGCCAATACGGCGATTATGTTAGGACGGGTCTGTCCAACCCGTGTACTTCCTTCCACATCCAGTGCTAACACCGTCAGGGCCACGTGAGCTCACGATTTTCGATACAGCTGCGATCCAACCAATCCTCGGAGCCCAGTCACAGACGTCAAAAGGACCGTTCTTTGACGTCATGGAAAAGTCGTTGCACCTCAATCGCGACAAGGCGTTCCACCGCCAGCGCCGCAGGATCTGGGATAATGCGATGAAGGCATCGCTTTCCGACTACGCGCCTCAAGTCGAGAACTTCACAGACCAGCTACTTACAAGATTGCGCAATGAAGAGGGAAGGTCGGTTCCGCTGCTTGTGTATGCAAGCTACTATAGCTACGACGTCATGGCAGCGCTGGCCTTCGGCAAGCCCATGGGCTTCATCATAGGCGAACAAAGCGACGTCGCTGCGAGTATTCTCGCTACTATGATGGGCAGCGTCCAGGCTTTGGGATACATGTATCTGATGCCGTGGCTAATGAACACAGTTGGTGTTCTTACCTCATTCGCCGGACCCATGAAGGAATGGCGAGACTGGAGCGTCAGCCAGATGAAAGCGCGCATGCAGGTACATCTTCCCGTCTTTAAGCTCGACCGAAGCCATTGCTAACAACCTCCTTTAGGTCCGAGATGCGAAGCCGGACCTAATCTCTCATCTCATCACCTCCACGCCCAAAACACCTGAGGGTCGCGAACTTCTCTACGGCGAATCACGCCTCATAATCTCCGCTGGCAGCGAGACCACGTCCACGGCCCTAACCTTCCTCTTCATGCATCTCGCCACACACCCACACTACATGGCCGCCGTCCGCACCGAGTTCCTCTCCAACATCAACACCTACGACTGCCAGCGGCCCATGCCAATGCTAGAAGCTTGTATCCAAGAATCGATGCGCATGTGGCCCTCCGTCTTCTTCGGCTCCCAACGCATCACACCGCCACAAGGTATGAAGATAAACGGTCACTTCATCCCAGGAAACATGATAGTACATATCCCTATCTTCCCGCTGTTGCGCGACGCGAGAAACTTTGTTGCACCTGATCAATTCATACCTGAGCGCTGGACTACGAAACCGGAATTGGTACTGAACAGGCACGCGTTCATTCCTTTCTCAACAGGTTCGCATAGCTGTGCTGGGAAGGCTCTGTCGTTGATGGAGTTGAGGAGTGTGATTGGGAGGGTCGTGGCGGAGTTTGATGTCGTGCTTGATGAGGGGACGGATGTGAATGCTTACTGGGAGGGCATTCTGGATCACTTCACTGCGGGTGCGCCGCCGATGATGGTCAGGTTTATGAAGGCGCAGTAAGTGCGTGCGGGATCTGGTATAGAGGGCGTTTACGGCTCATTTGTCTTTTACGTCAAAACGAATCCTATCTAGCTGCAGTGTGGGAAACCACCGAGAAGTCTACATTGCTGTTAGTCGTCCCAGAATTCCTATTGTGTACTACCTTGATCTTGCCTGCGACTGTACACTTACTGCAGCTGCCTGGTTTTTGACTTGTTAGTATGTAGCGGCGTCCGTCCGATGACGATCATGGCACGACAAGAACAGACTTAGAGGATAGGCGCTCGGGATTGAAAGGTGTGCTGTATGTGCGCATGCCGTTTCGAGGAGACGCCTAGTTGATGTAGACCCTGGAACGAAAGCGGTGAGGGCTGCGGTGGGGAGGTCTGGCGCGTCCGATCGCGTTGTCGCGTTCATCGCGCGCTCGAAAATATCATACCAGTGCCTCTCAAGCCTCGCCGCACAGCAGGCCTCGACCACCCACCACTACCATCCCAATCCGAGTCAGTATGGGGGGAAAGCGGAAGAGCACCGACGATCCGAAGCAAAGAAGCATTGCATTCTTCTTTACGAAGCGTCCGCGCAATGAGGCCTCGCACGACACTAATAACGACCCGAAACCTTGCTTGTGCTTAGGTTGACCTAGAAAAAGCTAAACACCCTAGAGCCTACATTGACTTTAGGCTACCTACTTTGCATGGTTTTATCTCAACGTAGTCTGCAGAAGTGGTTAGTTATTTCCTTGTGGACCGTGGTAGAAGGGCTCCCCGCCTTCATGTGACAGAAAATCCGAACCTCCACGATCATTAGACAGATCGTCACCTTCAATTAAGACGGTCGGGGGTTTCTCCTCTTTCTAATTCTGCTACTGCTGCTACTGTTGGTACTGCTGGTCCGGAGGAAACTCCTCCTTGTCCTTGATCTTGGACTTGACATCGTCGAGGGTGTCGGAGGGCTCAATCTCGTCATCCGCCAAAAGCGGCGCATCGTCGGCGGCGGCGGAGTTAGCGGCAGCGAGGAGACGCTTCTTCTGCTTCTTGTCGAAGTTGTTTATGTCCAAAAGAGCAAAAGTTAGTTACGGAAAAGAACAGGAATCTTGCGAGTGCGACGACGGTACGGTTTCGTGGAAATCGGGTTTAGTGTATCTGTCAAATTCTCCCATTGATCCTTCCTTCCATCATAGTGCGTTTTCCACGTGGACTGCTAGCTTCTTGTGCTGAGGAAGTCACGACTGGGCTACCCCAAACGCAGTCCACCGCATCTTGCGACCGCCCCATTAGATGGGACCCCGAGCTCGCCGGACTATGACCTCGATCTACGCTCGAAACGTAATTCTTCAACGTTGTCAAAGACAGCAGCTTGCAATCATATTGAGATCGAATGCAGTAGTAGCTTTGCAAATTTATAAGAGCTTGCAATCGCTCTCTCAGTCCTCGTGGCGCATCGTAGATACATTTTGCAAAACCGGGCGCAGTCTTGCAAAAGCGAACCAAACCAGCAAAGCCACCACTGTCTCAGCAAGTATCGCGAACCTGAAAACGCCAATACCCAAGCCATCAATAACAGCGCCGATAGCAAAAGGCGAGAGTGCAGCTCCGACCTGCCCAAGGGAGGCCACAAAAGACACAGCTGCAACATGTAGCTCAGCTGGTAGCAATCGTGTAAGTACAACAACGCCAGACGGGAACATTGGACCCATGATAAAACCCAACGTCGTCATCAAAGCCACAGATGCGGCCGCAGATGATAGAGCAGCGAAGAGTACGTCGATACCGATAGCGATGAGGAAGTAAAGACCAGTCGCGCGACGCACTCCTATCTTATCCGTAGCGAAACCCAGAGTCAGTCGCCCAACTGCCATGCCAATCCAGTACCCCGAGGAAGAGAGGCCAGCGACATAAGCGGTAGAGTGGCGGCTGCGCAGCATGAACGAAACGATCCAACCCGATATTGCTGTCTCAATGCCAACGTATGTGAGGAAGTACGCTGCGCAGAACCAGGTAGCTCGGTATTTGAACACGGCCTTGACGTCGACCTTGGGGTCATGAGACTTAGATTGGTTGCTTTCGCGATAGACCGATGCAGTCTCGTTGCGGAAAGCGAATACCAAGACCAGGAAAGAGAGAGCGCATGCTCCAGCCTATACTCATCAGCAAAAGCCACCCATGACGAGTATCCGTCGACTTACCAAAATAGAATACCAAGTCCACCACATAAACCCCCTAGTAGTCAGAACCGTAACAACAAACGGTCCCAGCGCCCCACCAACGCTGTAACTCCCATGCAACAGCCCAGAAACCGTATTCGCCTTCTCCATACTCCCAGCCCACGCACACCAACTCCCATCTAGTAGACCCGTACCCAGTCCTTGGAACGTAAACGCAAGCAACAAAAGACCGAAAGTAGGATGCGTCGCTGCAGTCGCCGTAGCCAAGATCTGCAGTAGCGGACCAGCTACTGCAATTCCCCTTTGCCCGAAGCGGTCATGGACGTTATCGCTGCATTGTGCTGCAATGACGTAGCCGATGGGGCTGACGAGGAAGATGGATGAGACTTGCAGGTCTGTGAGGTTGTAGTGGCGTGAGAGGAGTGGTAGGACGGCGCCGATGGAGGAGTTGAAGAGGCCGAGTGTGACGAAGGAGTACATTGCTGCTGCGATTTTGAAAACAAGTCGCGTGTCCATTGTACTGTCATTCGCATTTTCGGTTTCTTCTGAGTGGCCAGTGGGTCTAGTGACGACGATGAGAGGCGAGGTCTCGTTGTCGGCGCGTTGATGGGCCATGTTGTTGCTACGTTGCGCGTTCGGGACGCGTCACGGGGAAAGGGGAGGCGGTCAGTGTCAGCTTATCACGAGTTCATTCTTGGTTCAATGCGGATGGGAGTAGTCTTGAGGTGAGTGTTAACTCGAGATAGATGGTATGTTGTTTGATAGTTACTTTTGATGGAAAATGCGGTCGTTGTACGGCGCTACAAACAGGTAAGCGCCGCCGAGCGCCAGCCAATGACATCATCAGCAAGTCGCGTCTTGCGACCTTCTCGTCTACGCGCAGAACAGCCGTCCTCGTACATGTGTCGAGGTGAATATCCCAGTATGTAGCTCCATGGTACCAATAGGTTCAAGGCGGCTTGTTGGCTATGTCGGCATCGGCGAGGTACAGGCTTGCCGGATCGCATGTATGTGTATCTGCGCAAGCGCAACTACTATCATATCGGGCCGGCGTTGCAAGTGTCATATCGACGATTGCGCTCGTTTGAGCTGTATGCGCTGCCCTTGAAAGGTGGCTGTCGGGTGCAGCGACGACTCAATCCTCGTCATCCGATGATGCATAGCCCAGGCCGAGCGAAAGTGTGTTCCCCGGTTTGGATGTCGATTGCCCTGCTGGTGGCTTGACAGTGTTTACGGACGTCGTCGCAGGACTCTTCGAGCCATTGGCACTCGTTGCGGTAGATGACACGTTTGTCTTGACGCTCTCAGACTGCGCGGTCGCTTTTCCTTCGTCCACAGATTTCTTCTCTTCTGGTACGGAACTCGACTTCCTCAGCTTCACACCCTTCAACAGACCACCTTCAGCCCCCTTCTTCCTCTTTCGCCCAACTGCTGCCCATTGCGGAGCATCCTCATCTTTGGGCGCCTCTGAACTCTCTTCTTCAAGACCTTTCGCCTTCCTCTCGGCTTCTTCCCTTTGCCTGCGGAATATATCCAGTTGTTCGAAAGTCTCCTTCTTCACATTGAGCTCCTCCTGGCGCTTCTTTTCCAAGACGGAATCCAGATAGTCGGCTTCCTCATCATCTAGAGCAACATGCAGCTTGTAACGCGCCTTTTCCTCAAACTCGGCCTGTTTCTTGTCTTTGTTGGCTTGCAGAACTTCGAAAAGGCTCTTTCCATCCTGTTGTTTCGCTAAGTCGGCTTTGGCGCGCCGGGCATCCTCAATCTCTTGCTGGGCCTTTTTCCATTCGTCATCGCGCTCGACTTCTTCACCCGCTTTGCCGCCACTGACGAATCCTGAAGACATTGCGGTCCACACTTATACGGCTAGCGCAGGATGCTGAGGGCGGTGCAGTGGATGCAGGAGTTGAACGGCAGAAAGGCAAAGAAGTAGAAACTGTTCCGGCTTCCTCATAGGCACTAGCGACAGGTGGATCGTTCTCCACACCCCACCAGTTTAACCTCACCCGCGGGCAAATCGCGACCTGATACGTGGAGGTTTTATGCCGGTGCTTAAAGTTGCTCGGTGGAGATAGCGATGCAATGGGTGAATGTTGGCCCTGACGTAGGAGGGGTACACAACGCGTCGGCTGTGCCCCTCGCTCAGCTCACCATTCAAAAGTTTGCGCTTCCTGCCACTTTCCCATCCTCCTACATCCCAAACTTTACCTTTCAATTTATGATTCGTACTCTAGCAAGAATGGCACCCAAGAACTGGACCAAGGAGCACTTCACGCTCAACACTGGCGCAAAGATCCCCGCTGTCGGTCTCGGCACATGGCAATCAAAGCCTGGTGAGGTTCGTGAGGCCGTCAAGGCGGCTCTCGAGGGAGGATACCGCCACATCGACACCGCGCTTGCCTATGGCAACGAGAAGGAGGTCGGCCAGGGTATCAAGGACTCTGGTGTTCCCCGTGAGCAGATCTGGGTTACTACCAAGCTTGACAACCCATGGCACAAGCGCGTCGAAGAGGGCATCAACACCTCTCTGAAGGACCTCGGTCTTGACTACGTCGACCTTTACCTCATGGTATGTTTGTGAAAGTCCAATTTCTCATAAGACGAAATACTTACAAACCTCCAGCACTGGCCCTCATCGACCGACCCCGATGACCTCAAGAAGCACTACCCCGACTGGGACTTCAAGGACACCTGGGCCGAGATGCAAAAGCTCCCCGAGTCTGGCCGCGTGAAGAACATTGGTGTCTCCAACTTCGCCATCCAGAACCTCGAGAAGCTGTTCGCCGACTCGCGCACCAAGATCACACCCGCCGTCAACCAGATCGAGCTCCACCCCAACAACCCCTCGTAAGTCAATCACCAACAGCTTACCCATGCGCACGTCAATTAACAGTGACGCCAGACCCAAGCTCCTCGACTACCTCAAGGAGAAGGGCATCCACGCCACCGCCTACTCCTGCCTCGGCTCAACCGACTCTCCCCTGTACAAGAACGAGAAGCTCAAGAAGCTCGCCGACAACAAGGGCAAGTCCGTCCAGCAAGTTCTGCTCATGTGGGGTCTCCAGCGCGGCTCCAGCGTCATCCCCAAGTCTGTCACAGCATCCCGCATCATGGGTAACTTCCAGCTTGATGGCTGGGAGCTGACGGACGAGGAGATGAAGGAGATCAACGCGCTGCCTGAGCGCTTCAAGGTCTGCGGTGACTCTTGGCTGCCGGTCAAGGTCTTCTTTGGCGATGACGAGTAGGTCTTTTGAGAAGACCGATGGCTTTACGTACAATGATACCATGAATGAACAAATCGATGACAACATATGATCTTGAGCTGCCCAGTGCGTGGTGCGTGCGTGATGCTGCGGAGTAAAGTCGGGAATGAGCGTTGGAGCCTGTTCCGGGGTTGGGTGGCGATTCGTCATGTGATCTCGCGTTTTGGCGCTTGCGAGACGCGCCTGATCTAGATTCCCGCTCGCCACTCATCCTTCCCTTCTGCACAGCACATTCACAAATCCCGTACAACCACCTTTCCATAAAATTCACCGTCTTTAATCCGTCAAGATGAGCGCCGAAGAAGAGCAATTCGAGGACAGCACCATGGGTGGCCCCGGAGCCCCCACTCCCGTGTCTGCGCTTGAGGTAGGCTTTCTCCGTCTTTGGGCGCGCGACAGACACTGACAAAACCTCAGGGAGTCAACGGATTGACTGCACGCGACATCAAGTTAATTGTCGAGGGCGGCTTCAACACCGTAGAGTCTATTGCGTATACGTATGTAGACCATTGAACAGGAATTCGCCCCAACTCTAACGCCAGGCAGACCACGGCGAGCGCTCGAACAAATAAAGGGCATCTCGGAACAAAAGGCTTCAAAGTTGCTTGCAGAGGGTACGTGGCAATGACCCTACACCATCGCCTGTTGCTTACTTCAATAGCATCCAAACTCGTCCCTATGGGCTTCACCACGGCTACCGAGATGCACTCCCGCCGCAGCGAATTGATCTCCATCACGACCGGCTCAAAACAACTGGACACACTTCTGGCAGGAGGTATCGAAACAGGCTCCATAACGGAGATATTCGGAGAGTTTCGAACGGGAAAGAGCCAGATCTGCCATACCCTAGCCGTTACCTGCCAGCTGCCGTTCGACATGGGAGGTGGTGAGGGCAAATGCTTGTACATCGACACAGAGGGTACCTTCCGTCCAGTCCGATGCTTGGCCGTCGCAAATCGATTCGGACTCTCAGGCGAAGAAGTTCTGGACAATGTCGCTTATGCGCGCGCATACAACTCGGATCATCAGTTGGAGCTGCTCAACCAGGCCGCACAGATGATGACGGAAACACGATTCTCGCTGCTCGTTGTCGATTCCGCTACCGCGCTATACCGTACAGATTTCGCTGGACGTGGAGAGCTTTCTGCCAGGCAAACGCATTTGGCCAAGTTTATGCGCACGCTACAACGGCTCGCGGACGAGTTTGGCATCGCCGTTGTAATTACGAACCAAGTCGTCGCGCAAGTGGACGGTGGACCAAGTGCCATGTTCAACCCAGATCCCAAGAAGCCTATTGGAGGTAACATTATTGCGCACGCAAGTACGACTCGTCTCAGTCTGAGAAAGGGCAGGGGAGAGACGCGTGTGTGCAAGATCTACGACAGTCCGTGTCTGCCAGAGAGCGATTGCTTGTTTGCAATCAATGAAGACGGTATTGGTGACCCCAAAGAGAAGGACCTGGAGGAGAGGAACAACAGGTGATGAGGGAGATGAGGGAGATGAGGCGCGAGGCGCCATGGAGCCGTAGCGATCTAGAGCTTTTGGTTTTACACGATTTACGTTTATGCAGCCGTATGATATCCTAATACATTACCTGAATGAATGCGCATTATGTCTATCAGTACTATTCGGCCTATCTCGGGATTGAATGGCCATGCTATGTGGGGAGTGAGATAAGTGGGTTGCGTTCAGGGTAGCCTGCGGTGATGGACAAAGCGTCCGTGCACCAGCCAGCTTCGCGCATCCATCGTCGCGCAACGATTGTTTTCGTGAGCTTCACCTCCGCGCGACCGCCGCAACTCGACCCCAAACGCGCGCCGAAACCTCTCAGCCCCCGCAACGACAGCCGAACCCCCTTCGCATGCGAGCACCATGGTCCAACATGGAGGCACGTGTCTCTACAAAGAGGCGCGCTTGAACATTGAGCCCGCCTACCCTGGCTCGACCATCGCATTCTCGATCCCGTCGCATTCTCCCTTCAGCACACGATCCAGCGTAAAGCGCAGTGTAATCACAGAATCCTATGCGGACAAGGACGAGGAAGACTTCATAAGGCGCCATCTCGCTACAGATGGGTCCATGTACTTTCGGCAGCACCATGCCTACCCGCGCAGCTTCCTCTGGCGGGTGCTGGACAACAGGAAGATGCTCGAGATCCAGGCGACCGACTTCGATCACGACTACACCGACAAGTTCGAAGCAAACCTGACGCTCCTCTTCCAATTCCCCGCCCCAATCCGACCCTTCTGCGTCGCTTTCGCTGAGCCCACCGACCGCGATGCATTGACCGTCTTTGCAATCACCACGGGCAACGAGCTCTACACGATTACCCTGCACCGCGACTTCTTCGCCAACCCCGCAGCCTCAGAGCAGGACTCGGAGACGTGGTGCAAGAGGTTCGAGCCGGCGCTCTTCAGCGGGCGCATACCCTACCGATTGGCCGCCGCGAGCGCAGACGAACTGCTAGTCACACTCGACGACGGGGCCATCTGTCGCTTGATCTGGGACAAGGCCAACAACACCTGGGACGGATCACGGTACCAGCAGAGCAATTGGTCGGTGCGCGGTCTTCTCTCGTGGAAAGCGCAGCCCACGGTTCGCTTCGAGAACGCAGACTTTGCTGTATCAGCCGCGGCCGCCGTCGCGATATCACCAGACAGCAAGCACATCCTCTCAGTATGCCTGGACCACTCCATCAGAGCATGGAACATTGCGTCAGGCAAGCCAGGCGCGCACATCGACCTCCTGGGTGCCGACGACTTCGCGATGGAGAAGTCTCATGGCTCATACTCCATTGGGCCTTCGCAGTCAATGCTCATGGCTGTTGTGAACATCCCAGGCGGGGTAGGAGGCGCATTATACCACGTCGTTACATACTCGCCAAAGCAGCACCAGTTCAAGTTTTGGGGCGTGAGGGATGCAGATGACCAAGAACACGGATTTTACGACGCTGCGCCGGACTCAGACCTCATTCCGCCGATCGACGAACTTATGAACACGACTGTATGGACGCTGGAGGAGTTTCACATCATTCCAGGGGCTAACACCTGGAGGGGCTCAGAGATTTGGATACGCGCCAGGTCTGGACCGAGCAGCAAAGTCTACTCCCTCAAATTCGATCTCACCGACTACGCCGAACAACGAACACAAACGTGGAAGAGTGATTGGGTGTCTGTTGATTCGGGTCCTCTGACCGTCGAGGCACTGAAGGTCAATCCCGCGAATCCAAGCGAGCGGGAGTTGGAGCCAGAACAGGATCTCTCGAATGAGTGGTACGAGTTTCTGTTCTACCCAGGCCGATTCTCGATCGCGACATTAGAAACAGCGTTGCGCATATACAGGAAAGGCTTGGAGGGGATACGGCACCGGTCAAATCGAGTTCACAAAGGGTCACTGAAAGAACGTCTGGTTGCCACGCTTGTCGCCCTCGCCATTGAGCGCGGTCATGGCGAAGATTTCAGTAAAGACCTAACAGCGGAGTGGCAGGCATACTACGGCTTGGTGAAAGACTTGCACAAGCGGAGGGGAGAATCGTTGTCGCTCAGTTACGACCGGGCTACTGACAGGCCGTGGCTAGTGTTGAGCGACCACATCTCTGCGATCAGGAACTGCAGCGAGTCGGAAGTCACTACACTGAATGCAGCAGTCATCTCAGGCTCGCGTACCCTGAGCAAACCTCTACGGCAAACTCTGGATACATCGGAATCTCGCGACGTGGCACGTCTGCTGAATGCCGCAGCTTCCTTCCGCCAACGACTACCATACTTCGTCCAGCAGAAGGTTCAACGTCACATGGAGATGGACCTACTTCAGAGCCGGAACATCACGATCTTAGATCGCATGGAATGGATCGAAGGCAACAGCGAGCTTTCTCAACATGTGACCGACGAGGATGTGACCACTCTTGTTGAAGAGCTCGGTATGGAAGTCAAGGACCTGGGTACGGAGACTTTCCTCCGCGCCATTAGGAAACTGGATTACGAGCATGACGGCAGGCCTCAGTCGAGAAAGCAGATCGCGCGGTACGGGCTGAATGCGTTGTCATGCGTTTCCAAGGAGACTCTGGAGAACGACCACAATGCTTTGCTTGATCTGCTTGTCCTGCTGCTGTTCATGTTCATCGAGCTAGAGGGAGAGACACACGAGGAGTGGGATGCGTCTGAGGTATTTGCCGAGCTTCTACTGCGGTATAAAGACTGCATGGTCGTTTCTTGGTTGGCCCGTACAGTGTGGTCTCACCAGACTGGAACAGGCTTAGCATCCGACAATCTCAATCGCATGCTGAGCGAGACATACAAGACTGGTATGAAGTTACCCATCACCCAGACGGTCCTCGAGGGCATTTACGGTAGTCGTGCCTTTGAGGTGCCACTACCAAAAGACCCGAAGGCGGGTCTACTTACTCACTGGAGTCGCGGCTGGTTGTCATTCATCTTCGAAGAACATGACTTTGAAAACGCGGTAGAGGATATGATGGGTATACTCTTGTATCAGCAAGAGTACGAGCTCGCCAAGGACTTTTCCAAGTTCCTCACGGAAGGACACTGGGCGTCGTATCTGAAGGGACGACTGTACCTTGCACTGGGCAACAAAGAGCTGGCTTCTGTGTGCTTCCAGAAGCCTGCCTACTATCTGGGTAAGTCTTGGACATGCGATTCTGCCATGAACATACTAATCTCTGTAGCTCTCGGTCCCATGTTCGACGTGGCGGAGGAAGACAAAGCAAACCTCATATCAGAAGTGGAGCGAAACTCGTTCTCCGAAGGTCTGGCGCACTATTACAGTCATGTCATTGGTCTGTTCGAGAAGGCCAAAGCGTACTCCTACGTTGCCGACTTTGCGAAGCTGGGGCTGCGATCTTTGATGGGCCAGGAAGATGTGGAACTGAAGACGGACCTGCTCCAACGGCTGTTCACCGCTTCGATACAAACATCAAGATTCCAGGATGCATATGGTGCGCTGATCAGGCATCGCGACACGGCCTTGTAAGTCGAAGAACAGCTTCCACACAACTTCGTATACTAACTACTTTCCAGGAAACTCTCCGACCTGCAGACGCTCATCACATCCATGGTAGCTCAATCGCAGACTACCGAGCTTCTCAAGTTCCCATTCGTCGGACTAACAGATTCGGTGGACAACGTCCTCACATCCCTCTGCCAGAAGACACTCAACATCGCATCCGGCCCACCCTACCACCAGATCCTCTACTCATTCCGCATCTCCCGCAACAACTTCCGCGGCGCCGCATCGATTCTCCACGAGCGCCTCCAGCGCCTCAAGACAACATCAACCAAGATCCACGACCCAGCCGACGAGTCCCTCACACAGTGCTACCTCATGATCATCAACACACTCTCATCGGTCAGCAAAGAAGACGCCTACATCCTAGCCGAGCAGCGCATAGAAGCAACCGGAGGTCCGCCGCAATGGGGCATCGGCCAGGGAAAGAAGCTACTTAGACGGCAGATCATCACCCTGGATACCCTGAGGAAGGAGTATCAGGCTGAATTGGACAGGATCGCGGCGATTGAGAGTGGCCAGTTTCCTTTTGTGGATCCGGTGGATGATATGGATATCCTGTAGGGCTTGCTGGGTGTTATAGCGCGGCGTTCTTTGGCGGCTTTGCGGGATTGAGAAAGGGATGGGTGGGGGGTTATGTAGATTTGCTATCTGGCTGGGTCTGAATTGGATCGTGGAGTGGCTAGACGTTATTATGAGAATCCAGATCTTGAACAAATCATGGCTATGTTGGTTGCAGTTTGTGAATTGCCAGTGTTTGTCCTGTAATCGATAGAGAAGGGACGCAGCGGTGCGACTATCTTATATTGCCCTCTTCTAATTTACATCTAAGTGCGATGCAATAGTCTAGTTCTTCTCTTCTGTTCTATAGTACTGCAGTAACGCAATATAGATAAGTAACTTATAACTTAAATCTATATATACGTATCTAATTAGGTCCTTAGAAAAGAGAAGTATTATTAACACAAGAGCTTGATGGAGAAAGTGATTAGGTGGGAGTGAGTTGCAATTACGCGCTAGAACGCGTGCAGATGCGGGACGTCGCGAACCTCCAGGTAGGTGCGTTGCAGCCGCTGGAGGACAGCAGCCATCAACAGCCACTTCAGACCCTCACGCATCCGACCATAGCGCAATGATTCCTTGTCCTCATCCTAATTCCTTTACAACGACTACAACAATCCTAAACAAACCCCCGCAGCCATGGTACCACCCGCTCTCTTACCCTGCGCGTCCCCCCGACTAACCCAAACACCCAGAACTCAAAGTCACTGCGCCGCCTCGCCGCGGACCACGGCTCCCTCCACACCGCCGGCCTCCCCCCAAACTACCTATTCCCACCGGGCTCCGACGACTCGTCAGACCTAACGACGCTCGACATCCTCCTCGCCGGTCCTGTCGGCACACCCTACGCAGGCGGTGTATGGCGCCTCCACCTCGATATTCCGCCCACGTACCCCACCGCACCGCCCACAGCGCAGTTCCGCACGCGATTATGGCACCCAAACATCGACGAGGCAACAGGCGCCGTGTGTGTGGAGACGCTGAAGAGGGACTGGAGTAGCACGCTCAAGCTCCGCGATGTGCTTGTTACGATATCCTGCCTACTCATACAACCAAACCCAGCGAGTGCATTGAACGAAGCAGCCGGGAAACTAGCGGTCGAGGACTGGGATGGATACTGCAGGCGAGCCAAGCTCATGACAGACATCCATGCTGCGGTGCCGAGGGATATTGAGAAAGACGTGAGGGAAGCACAGATGCGAGGCGAAGATAAAATCATAGAACCGGACCAAACCATCGCGAAACCACACTCGAAAGGCAAAGAAACAGAGCGGGTTAAAGTCACGCCTTCCGGACCGAAACTCACGCGCATGAAGAGTGAGGATGAGGAGAATACGAGGAGCAGGAGGGGCGGGACGCAGGATGCGGAGAGTGGGACTGAGGACGATGCTGTGACTGAGCGGAGGGAGGGGACGAGGAGGAGTAAGGTGCCTGAGTCAAGGAGACAGGGTAATATCTTTGGGATCAAGGGTCTGGGCGATGGTATGCAGCTCGACTCCCCACCGCAGAAGAGGATTTTTGCTGTGCCGGGTGCGCATACACCGCCTGTTTCTACTCCGAACGAGAACGGGAAAGGGAACGGGGAGGGAGAGGGAGAGGATAAGGATCCGTTTACGACTGTGACCTCGAAACGGAATACCCACCCCGATTCTTCTACTGCGACAGGAGGAACAGCAGCAGTAACACAACCCGACACCGAGACGCCCGACCTCCTCAAATTCTCAACTCAAAACCCCTTCGCCGCCATCCAACCCAATAACCAAACTCATCCCCTCTACAGAGAGTTTTCGTTTAGTTGGGAAGATGCGATGGTGGTGCATGACGCCGGTGTTGGTAAGAGTGGTGGTGGTGGTGGTGGTGGTGGTAGTGGAAGTGTGAGTGGGATGAGTAAAGCGGATGTACGCAAGAGACACGCCACGGAGGAGTTTGAGAAGAAGGAAAGGTGGGAGATGAAGAGGTTTCGTAAGGCGGGCGGCGATTTGAAGAGGTTTAATCGGGGGGATTGGGGGGTTAGGATGGGGGTTGGACGGCTGTAATGGGAAGGATGGGTGGGTGAGGAGGGGAAGGAAGGAGAGAGGTGTGGGTGATGGATGGATGAGGAGGGGTGTAATGGTGGTTTGCATAGCGATATGGCGTTTTGGTTCATGATGGATGATGAGAGTTCACGGCGGTTGCGATTGTTGATAAAGATGGGATGGTAGTAAGGTGGTAGTGCGTATACCCTATGAATTACACTCTACGATCAGCGAGGTACCTTTCGTGATTTCAGGTTCTTGAGTTGTGTGATGATGATCATCACCATCACCATCGCTTTTGCACTCCGCAGCGCTCACGACTTCCTAGGTGCCTCGCACGCGTTAGACGGACATGGAGGAAGTGCAGGCACAGAAGTCCAGACATCGTTTTTCTTTTCGCTGTTTTCGGAACATCATGAACCAGCTCTTTATTTTTAGTAGCACCTGCTGTTGTGGTGTATAAAGAAAGGAAGGAGACCATGAGTACGATGACAGTGCTTTTATATCACACCCATCCCCTCTCTCTTCGACCCGTTGCTCATCCGTGTAGAGGCTCATCGTTTCGATACCGCAACACAGCGACCACACAGACAGCCATTCGTTTCCTTAGTGGTCATTTCCGATCTCATGCGTTCTCCTTATCCTCACTTTGGAAATTGCAACTCGCATGTCAAGCGTCGCGCGCTGTTTTTTGTTTCGAGATAAGAGGAAGAGAGGGCAAGACCGAACACATGCAACTAATCTTGACTCTTTTTTGGAAGGAGCCGCCGTCTCCATCTGGATGTGGACATTGTTCTTTTGGAGAAAGAGGAGGAAAGTTGTGGATGAAGAGGAGAGAAGAAGAGAGGCTGGTGGAAGAATTTATAGTTGAGCGAGGACGGCGGCGTGCACACATAACACATGGGCGACATCTTTTTGGTATAGTGTAAAGCTTTTGATGATATTTTGGTATTGCTAGTATGGCTCGAGGCGAAGGCCGGGACACATGCGATTGGTAGATTCGGTTTTTGGAAGAGAGGCACAGTCTCCATGTTTATCTGGGTGTAGCCTTTTGGAAAAAGAGGAGGAAGTTGGAGGATGCAGGAAGTGTAGTCCCGCAAGCGCAGAGGGGTTTTATGTGCTAAGGCAGAGAAGGCGGCGTCCACATAGTACACATCCCGCATCATTTCTGGCGCAGGCAAGCTCGTCGCGGTGGCTGGACGAGAAGGACAGAACATGTGGATGTCCTTGGCTAGTTTTGGAAAGAAGAGGCAGTCTCCATGCACATAAACTACTGCCATTTTAGAGAAAGAAGGAAGACGCAATGTGTTGAGGGAAGTGTACTCCAGTCGCGAGCAGAAGGTTTTATAGTGGAACCACTCGTCGTTCGTTCTTATGTTCTGCTGGTGGACTTTCTTTTTGTGCGCTCATGATGGTTTTGGACGAGGGCAGCTGGTCATGGGAAAGATCTTGGTGAGTTTTCGAAGAGCACAAGAACACTCATGAACGCTTCTGGATGCGGTTTTGAGAAGAGGAGGCGCAGTCTCCATGCGCATTCGACAAGCCACTTTTGAAAGAAGAGGCGAAGTCCTGCTCTCATAGTAGGCCATAATGGAGATTTTGGAAGAAGAGGCACAAACACCATGATGTGTTAAGAAATCATGTTTTGGAAAGCCACAATACAAGTGTGGATGTAGAGAAGAAGAGAAGAGCCGTCGCAGACGGAGACTTTATAGATGGGCGACGCACGGTCAGCGCGCACACATCGTAAGTCATGTTTTCTTTTTTGATGTTTAGATAATCTGTCCGCGGGAGAAAGACACCGCCATGCCTTGATCTCAGGATTGATTTTGAGAACGCGAAGGAGGAGAGGCAAACACATCGGTGCCTTGGTAGTAGATTTTGAGACGCAGGCACACAGACCCATACAAGACCATGATTTGCTTTTTGAGAAGACGGATGTATGTTTAATGTAGAAGAGAGCGAGGCGCAGGCACACAGGCCCATGCACATCTCGTCTTTAGCTTTTGAGAAAGACGGATGGATGTTGGATGAAGAAGGGAGAGAGATACAACAGCCAGAAGATTCGTTTTATAGACGGGTCGATAAGACGCTGCTCACATGCTCACTATCGCTGAGGTTTTCGTACCCGCATACTGTTTTCCCCTCGCGCGACCGCGCTTTCATGCTTTGAGCCGTTCAATCTTTTGACAGCGCAGAGAAGAGGCGAACACATGAAACTGTCCTTTGAACCGTTTTGAGACAGAAAGGTGACTGCAGTCATGGAACGTTTCCATATAGCTTTGAAAATGCAGAGTAGAATGTTGGATATCAGGCACGAGACACTTCTCATATGTCGTGGTGGTATTATCTTCGAACGGCAATATGTAAACATATGCATGTATACATTCCGCTGCGACCGCCAGACATGATAGCTACAGCCACGCATTTGGAGGGTGTTGTGGGCTTTTGTTGGCTTCTCCAGCCATGAAGTAGGCCATTCTCAGTTTCAGAGAGAGCGAGGCAGGAGAAAACATGGATAATGGCTTTTTGGCTTTTGGAAAACAGCCGCAGCCCACATGACCATAATTGCTTGACGTTTTAGACAATATGAGGATTCAATGGGGTATTTGGATGGACGGAGATCGAAGCAGCGGAGAGGTATTTATACCTCGAGCGACTAGGAGAATAACAGCGCAGAGCTGGCGCCGGTCATAAGCTTTGGAAAGCAACGTATGAGCACTGGGTCGGCGCTGAAGCGCGAGCTCCCATAAGATTAATTTTGTCGAGTTTCGGAAAAGCGAAAGAAGGAGTCGGCCATTGTATTTGGGAAAAGCCTTTTTGTGGAAGAACAGCTCTTCCATGACGAATGCTTGTATCTGGTTTTGGTGTCGCAAAGTGCGAAAGTGGATATAAGAGGGAAAGACAGCCAGCACTTCGGGAACTTTATATATAATCCCTAGGGTCAGATGATCTAGGAAGTTTGAAGGGTTTTGAGTGTGTGAAGAGCGCAGAAGGCCAGCTACTTCTTCTCATGTTCATCTTGGGTACGTTTTTGAGAAGTCGGAAGACACGAAGACTCATCGATTGGACGGGCGCAGTTTTTGAGAGAGCCGGCGAAGGCAGAGGCTCTCCATACGACAGTTACATTGCGTTTTAGGTAGTGTTGTTGAGAAAGTTTGTTGGTGAGGGAAGTCGCAACGAAGGGCGGATTTTATAGCCGGTTTGCAGGCTCACGTGCAATAGCGCATTGGGCGACCTCGGGAGACGCAATCATGTCATGCGTTCTCTTTGGATTTGCGTATGGGATAGTTGATATGGCGCATGATTGTATCGCTCCCATACAATCGATCAGACTGGCTTTGAAAATGGACTGGAAGGGAAGAACACATCGATCTCTTGACGGATGATATTGGTGGAACACTGGCCACAGGCCATGTACTTGTTTGTTTATCCGTTGAAACCTCGAATTCAGATGCTGGTTATGATGTTAACGAGAAGGTCAGGCCGAAGTTACGCATTTTGTAGGAGTGATGCGGCTGGTCTGCGCCCACATTGGCGGTGTCGCAGTGAACCGGTCCAACTCGCGTCATGCGGAGAGATTCCGAAGTTGCCCGTGCATTGATGCACGCTCTGATATTGAAAGCCTGACATCATTAGCTCGACGTCTAAGCTACTCCCCACCGCTCCAAATCATCATATGTAGCTTCATAACCTCCTTGCTCCCCTTCAATGTCACTGTCCCAATACCCATCATCGCTGTCGTACCCCTCCTCTTCGCTGTCACCCTCTTCATCGTCGTCGTCGTCCTCTTCACTTTTTTCGTTTCCATCATCGCTGTCATCACCATCCCCATCCTCCTCACTACTCCATGGACACACCCCGGACTCTTCATCACTATCGAATAGGTCCAGCATTTCGATGCGAATCAGCTTGCCGAACGAACGATACTGCCACCGCTTTCTGAAATCGGGAAGACTGTAGGTGAATCCTCCTGAGTAATGACCCATCAATGAGTCTCGTATCATTTCCTTCTCTTTGTAGTGTTTCAAGGGATTCCATTCATCATGGACACCCATGTCCTCGGCTTTCTCCTACGACAGCGCATTAGCATTGGTTCTTCCGCAAGACATGGGCATGGATGATATAGAGTGATCTTGCTGCGTACCTGCTCCCATTCTTCCTTGCTGAGGTGAAAGAGATTCTGCATGGGAGTTTCGTGGGTCTTGCCATCCTCCTCACATTCACATCCCCTGTCGTTGTCGTAATCACCGGAATCTTCCTGCCATGTGATCACTACCTTGACTCCACGGTGTATCAAGTCATATACTGGCTTGCGAATGGCTTCTAGAGTATTTAGGAAAACGCGTTCGCAGTCCAGCATGTCTTTGAGTTCACTCTTCCTCTGTGGAGACTGGGTGTACTCGTAGCTTTCCATGTACAAGAGGATATGAACGGTCTGTGACATTGGAGAAACCCCCAAATAACGGGAGAAGTTCTCCTCGAGCGTCTGGTAGAGCTCAGTGAGGTCTGCTTTCTCTTTCGCCATATTCTGTGCTGGGTAGCTGTTAGCGGCCGTTGAACCAGAAAGGTCAAATGCAGATGTCTCACCACGCATATCCTCTAAAGCTGATAGTCAAATGCAACATGGAAAAGCAATTGTATGGATAGACATTGAGGTCGAAGATGTCGTTTGTAAGCTGATCATGAAGTTCTCTTGTATTGCAACAAATATGTGTGAGACGATAGCAGACTGTTGCCGCTTCACGCGCGAGCCCCCTAGGTACGTACGGTGGGCTAAATATGCGTAGGCTTGGTTTGATATAGGCATCCTCGCCAGTCTCGCGAGCTCGTAATTGGACCGGATCTGGGTAGTCGTCGTCGATTAGGTACTCATATATAGAGCATCGCAACTTCTGAGGAAGTTTGGTCCAGATTGCTGTCGCTAGACTATAGCAAGCTTCCCGCTCACGTCGTGCTTCCGCACGTGGGTCTATTGCACGGTTTTTCCTAGGACAGCGTGAATACCTAGGATATCGCAATCGCATGTAAATGGCAATACCTTGACGGTCTAGAGGACTCGCCCTTCTGTCGTGTGCGTTTAGGGGCACTGCGTTTGGGAGGTATTACCGCGTTGCAAAACGCGTTTTGCTTGTATGTTTCTTTGAGAGCACCTATGCGAGACGACCTCTTTCCGGGCTCTCGAGTGAAAAGCCAACCAGCCCCTGCCACTGTTGCGGGGCACAGCAGGTCCGTGCAGGTTCGAGATCTGCAAGCAACGCACGCCAACATATCAAGGTCATCACAAACAGGGAGAATGCAACTACTCAAGTACTCCACGTTCTTCCTCGCGCGTCTTTGGACTAAAGCCCAGCATTACCAACCTTTTCTAGCTCCAACAAGGTGAAATGTGCCGGAAGCATAGGTGAGAGTCTCAAAGTCTTCATAGCCCCATCTTCTCCTCAACTGAGGTAGCATTTGGGCAAATTCGTCCTTGTAGATGGTAGGGCCGTCTGCCAGCATGCTTTGCTCGATGAAGTTCTGGCGAGGGTTATAGTGTCCAAATTGCAGCATGTGCTCTTCCTTCTCCTTTCGCCATAGTTAGCCTTATTTCCTGTTCATTATGTGCACACTGACCTTCTCCCAATCTTCTTTAGTGAGGTGGAATAGTCCTCGTATCCTCCTGTCTTTTGGTGGCCGACGGACATTCATCAGGCATAAGATTGTAACCGAAGAGCCGGAGTATTTCAGATCGTAGAGAGATTTCCTCATCGCCTCCAACACATTAAGAAGGCTGCGCTCCACATTCAGAAACCCGATGCGGTATGGATCTCCATCGGCTGGCTCCATGTCGCTCTCATCCGGTTCCCCTCCCCAATGCCATTCATCTTCGCTGGGCATGATCTGAACAGTGACGTCAAGCTTAGATTTCTCCACAATCAGCGAGAGCCCGGATTCTAGGTCATTGTGTAGCTTCTCGAGATCCGATAGTTCATCGCGGGAGGGCTCCTCGGGGTTGATCGACATGGGCGGGCATATGTCAGTGAGATCGATACGGATGAACAAGTGCCGAATAAACTTGTACGGCAATATACCCAGGCCGAACAAGTCCTCCACTAGTTGGGGCATGAGATACTGTAATCCCGGAAGCTTGGTAGGGTGGTCTCCATACGAATGGTAGGATTGAGTGCCGGCATCGAAGACGTTGGTAGCATAGTAGCGTTCCGCGGCTTCGCATGCAACCTCGTAGCCCACATAGGATGGGCAAAATACTTTATAGGGTTCCTTGACATATTGCTCATCAGATGCCGTGCTAAGACCTTCCAGACCTTGTCTAAACCAGAATGTGTCCTCCTCAGCAACAAGGTACTGATACACTTCATCGCGTAACTCTCGGGGCAGTTTAACGTGTAATTTGGACGCAATTTCACGGACTTGCTCTCGATCGCGCCTTGCCACTATCTTTTGTTGTTCCCTATGACAACGTTAATCAGGTATGATTCAGCCTTTTGGAGTGCAGGCGATCGTACTTGGATGGTCTATCGCGGTTGTATGGCTTGTCGATGTACCGCACCCAAGGCATCCTCCAACACTCAATTTCTTCCGGATTCAACGGATCCGAATTTTCCTTAGTGAGATCCCATGAGTACTCTGAGTTCCAATCTAAATCCATATCCGAATGTTCGTCTCAGTATTCCGGCTCTGGCTCGGAATGCCGCTGATAAGGGCGTAAACAGCCCGAGGATTGTCAAACGTCAGCTGGATCGACGCGATGCAAGAACTTCAGACTACATAGGTAATATGTATACTGGAGTGGCTGCGCTTCTCCATCGCCGTCCGTACCTGCGAGGATGGGTAGCGGGGCATTGATGATACCAAAATAGCTTCTAGATATTTAGGCATATCGAGCTCTCCATGGCTTCCTCCAATCATCGTTTGACGCGTCCACGCATGGCCCCCTTCATCCCGAGGTCGGCACGGACCATGCTTCCAGACCGCTCACCTCCGTTCATCGCGGGGCGTACTCTGACAGACCTATTTTCAAGCAGGAGAAGCAAAAAGCCAGCGCAGCGATGCCTCCGAAGGGCCATCATCTCGATGATGCGCGTCTGGGAGATGGGCCCACGAAGCCACCCAGGTATTCCCATTCCTGCATCGTCGTCGCCACCTTCCGCAAAATTCACGCCTGTGCAGAAGGAAATATCACAGAAAACAGCTATCTACTGCCCAACTCGAGCGACAAGCTTGCCGCCGCTTCGCAACAGCATTTCATGCTAAAATCCCCCGGAACATACGTGACATCGTGTACATGCACTTCATCGAAAAACCATTCTTCTGGCCCGTGGAAGATATGGAGCAGCGCAAGAACGCCTACGTTGAGCACCAACATCGTATATATAGCGCAGCCTACGTGGGCAGAAAAGTCGCCAGCGAAGCAGTAGAATACTACTATTTCAGACAGCACCAGGTCACCAACGTCACGAACTTGAAGAAGACGCTCACGAAGGATATGTTCAATCTCGGCGTTAAACCGTACGAGTTTATCCGAGTGCTGCACATTTACCTCAATATTGACAAGGTAGTCACTCGATCGAAAGTGGACTGGAAGGGCTGGCTTGTCGAGGAGGAAGATCCAGAAAAAGCGATTGCGAGGGAGAAGAGACACCTCAACGATTTGTATCAGAAACTGACGTCTGGCTTGTCCCTCATTGTGCGAGGAAGACGTCGTTGGCCGGTGAAGATCATGATCGAATTGACAATGGGCAGTTATCCAGGTGGCGGTGCTGATGCGAGGACTCAAGATCAAGTCACCGCTCGGCGGGACTACGAACGTGGGTTCTTGAACGTACTGGAGACGATACGCAGACCGGTGTATGACACGATACATGCTGGCTTCGAGGTCGAAGTTGCATGGAATGGGAACAAGGCTTTCACCGAGACTGCTCTCTCCGAAGAACGTAACAGAAATGAACGCGACGGTAGTGAAAGTGAAGATGATGGGTACGGTAGTGCTTGTAGCGAAGAGGGTAACCACTGCTTCTGTTACTATTACCCCCCGAACAGTACGAAAAAAGATGTATGATCAAGAATTAGACTTCTTCCGCCTCAGTAAGGAGGAATGGGAAAAGGTTGGTACACTTATTGGACTTACGCCACACTCCCCCTCATCTCTACACAAAGCTCCACCTAAGACGCTCCTTATCCATATACCCCCATCCCTCTCCATCCCCCACTAACCACCTCCTTAGGAAAAAGCCTCACAAGTAACCCGCCACGGTAACTACAACCCCAAAGCGCACTACAAGCCCAAAAGCCTACTACGCTACACCCGCGATATCAACAAATACTACCAAATGGACTTCGCCAAAAACCTACCCCAGTACCGAGCCAGGTGGGGCTATGAATCGTTCGAGCGGCTGCTGCATCTTGGAAGATGGAACGTCCGATGGAAACGGTACGACGACAGTTCCGATTCGGGAGGCTATCCAATGCCAGTGCATACGAATAGCAGTGCGTATAGTGATAGTGAGCGGCCGGATGGTTGGTATGATAGGTACGAGGATGAGTATATCTCGGGAGAAGAGGACGAGGATGATGATGAGGAGGATGGCGGAGATGTGTACGATCACAGCGACAATGAAGCTTCCTACGACAGCTTGGATGAATGGGCACTGGCCCAAATCGCGTAGTGTATATTTCCGATAGCTAGAACCATTCACGTGTCAATTGTGGCAGCTTTAACAGCATATTACTTTTGGTTTGGGACTTCTTACGATCGAAGATCTGAGTGTGGAGCATGGAGGTAGTAGTCATGAGCGATAGCATAGTCGCGCCTCGCAACCAATCGATTAAACGGAACAAATCCAAGCCCGTTGAGGGACTACCTAGGGATCAAACACGCTCAAATCTATGAAATCCAACGCTAGCCACCCATTGTTGAAAGTGCGTCCCCGCAGCTCACACTACTCCGTTCGCGGCCGCCTTGCTCTCAGTGCCGTTCTGCAAGACCTCATCCGCCTGCTTGATCGTAGGCACCGATTCGGACGGAACTACGAGCGACGCGCCGTTGACGACGCCGTTGGTGGAGTCTTGGTGCGGTGCTTGGAGGCCTTGGCGGACCTTCAGCACGCTGTCGACGATGACGGCGTCGATGCCTTCGTTTCGTTGGAGCTGTGTTGCTGTTAGTAAATGTTGCGTAAAGTGAAAGCCCGTGAGGGAATGACTTACCAGGACGTTCTTAGGATCGTTGTTCAGTATGCCATACGAGACGCACACCAAACCACTTTCCTTCACCACCTTGACAAGTCTCGGGCACATGACCAAAGGCTCAGCAGCGGTGACGACTCCCAGCAGATTCCAACGGCTAGCAAAGCGGATGCCTTCCTGTAGACTGGCCGCTCGCACATCGCCCACGGGCAAAGTTCCCGCGTCGGTAAGAAAGAGTACCGGGATTGAGGGCTGCTTGAAGGACAGCATCAGGCAGACGTCGGGGTTGAACGATGAAAAGATAATGTTCCGTTGGCCCATCCTGTCGTACACCTTCTGCAGTACTGTATCGACGAACTGGTTCAGCTCAACAGCGTACTGGTCCATCTCTTCATCCTCTGTCTCGTAAAGCATAGGGTACTTGAACTCGACGTTGAAACCGACTGATTCAGGCAGCTCATCGAACATGCGGTCGAGAGTCGTGAATGAGGACTGGATGGATGTGCCACGGTTGTTGCCCTTGAAGCCCTTCTTCATAAAGTCGCGGGTGTACTTCATTCGCTCCGCGAGCTCGTTCTGACGATCAGTGTGGATGTTGCGCTGTTTCGAGTTATCGACTGAGTATGATCGAAGTCTCCGGGTGTTGGGCTTGTCGTCTGTGCCATTCGCACCGTTCAGGACAGGCACAGTTTCTGGCGATCCAGCGCGAGAGGATCGTGGCTTCTGGCCCTCGCCGATGTGTAGGAATTGGTCCAATGTAAGCGTGTGTACGGGTGCATCGATACCAGTCTCGCTGACCAGGAAGTCATGATAGATAACCGGCACATGATCCTTAGTTAGCTGAACGTCGAACTCCACGTACTCGGCACCCAAGTTGGCAGCGGAAATGAAGGATTGAATCGTGTTCTCGCCAAGTTGTAGCGACGTGCGTGAGGCGGTGTTCTTTCCTAGACCGCGGTGGCCGATGACCATGGTCGATGCGGCCATCTTCTTCCAGTAAGTGTGCTGTTCTGTGATGGACATGCTTGGGTGGTGGAAAGGCGTAATGATCAAAAAGTTGAAGTTGACGGTGCCAATCACGTCAAGTGTCGAGGCAGCCACAATTGGTACCTTCATGTCTCCCTGGAGCGAGATGCGCTTAGATCCAATACTGGTCTTGATAGTCGACAACAATGCCACTGCTCGTCCCACTACACGCTCTTGAGAACCCGCATATGTTGGGATAATGTCGAAAAGTAGCTTGACTTTAGTGGCATCGCTGGTCATGAAGGTAATTGGCTCAGTCGCAATGTTTTCCTGGATGGGCAAGTCAATGACCGAGGGTTCTCCGTTTGCGCCAGACGCATTAACAACCACAGACAGAGCGGTATCGAGTTGCGTCGCATGTGCATCGGCAAGAGGGATATCGTCCAATTTCACGGCGGGCACATCTTTCCTGGCGTCCATTGAACCAAGGCTGACAAGAATCATTGTCTCTTTGGTTAAGTAACGATGGCCAAAGGTCTTCACGGGTTCGGGCGCCTTTTGAACAGGCGTATTGGTGTCTCGGTTTAGATTCTTAGACCTTCGCTCGTCAAGGGAGGATTGTGTAGGCGAGCCAGCTCGAGCAATACGCGTATCCTTAGGCGCGACAAGAGGCGGCTCTGTCGCAGGAGCAAGTTCCCCTAGTCTGATCGCTACCGCAATGTGACCACGGAGCGTGGCGTGCTCCTTTGCTGTCCAGCCAGAGTTGTCGCACCTCTGAAGATCAGCTCCGGCCGCGGCAAGAATCTCTACCATGGAGAGATGGTCGTCGACAGCAGCGATGAACAGTGGCGTCCATGCAAACGTCTTCTCAGCGACATCGACCTCCGCCTTGTTCACACTAGATCCACCCAGTAGAACTTTGGCGCACTCATCGTAACCGTAGCGTGCCGCCATATGTAATGCGGTCTCACCGCCCTCATCCCGATAGTTCACGTCCACACCCGCTTCAACCAGGAGCTTGACAATGTCTACGAAGTTCGACCGGGTTGCTAGTGTCAAGGCTGCTCCTGATCTTGCGATAGTCTTGCGGGATGTAAGGCGTTCTTCCGTGGTACCGCGCCAGTTTTCCGCATCGAGGAGGGCTTTCGTGGTGAGCGGATGTCCGCCCATTACGCTGAGATGCAAAGGAGCGTTACCCTCAGCATCCTGCCAGTAAGCGGAGTCGATTCCCTGAGCGACGTCGAATTGGCCCCAGTCTTGCATGTGCTTCATAACGACCTGGCAAATGACGACAAATCCATATTGCGCAGCATAATGGAGCGGGAATCTGCCATAGGAGTCGCGAGATTGAAGCGCGTTGCGTTGCTCAGCCTGGAGCTGATCGAGTAGGTAGACCAGTAACCGTACCGACTCATCGTTCTCGCTGAGTAATTGCGTTGACTCTTCTTCGGTGGTGGTGCAAGGGCGAGGTTGGCGATTGGGATCCGTCGCAGGCACAATGAAGTTGCGCGTCTCGCTAGAGCTCTGGAGAAGGGTTCCATCAGCACCAAACGTGTCGCCAGTCTTCGATCGGCCGATATTGATGACAAGTCGGTGGATGCAATTGCGCTTGTTGATGTCGTCTTCCTCATCTAGTGAGATAATGTCCTTGAGTAATCTCTCGATACATGACTTTGCCCGGCATGAGATGGCGCGTTGCAGGAAGTTCAGGAGTACTTGCTGGAACGAAGCACTCGAAATGCCATTGCTCGCAGCAGCTTCTGTGAGTTTCTGGTTGAGATCTTCGACCTTGTCGCCCCGAATAGCCGTATCCACAGCGTCGAGCAGGCCCGCGGGAAGGTGTAACGAGCGACCTGGAACTCTGCCCAGAGAGGCCGCCGAATGGGAGGAGCCCGTGTCATCGAACGTCTTGATGTCGCTCAACCCTGATAGCCACTCGTTGACTGCCTTCATATCCTGATTTAGAGGCAGGTTATGCGCAAAAGGCTTTGGGTTGACCTTCGACGCCAAGTAGCGCTCCTGCAGACAAACTGTCTCAATCTTTTTGTCCAGCTTCTTTGTGATCTTGATGAAGCCTCTACGATTCACCTCTCCATACCATTGAAGCTTCCGCATTGAACCGCGCAGCTCGAGCAGCGCACCCATGAGATCCTGCGCTTCATCCTTGTCGATGCCATCGGGCAATTGTGCGACTCGTCCGTAGCGGCCATGTAGAAGCCTCAATCGTCGTGCGTTTTCGGCGTATTTGCGGTTGTAGAAGTTGTCAACGTCTTCGAGGTTGCGATCGAGCGAGAAGAAGAACTCTGGGGTGAATGTTAGCCACGTGTTCTGCAACTTGAAGTTCGATGGTCGCAATAGGCTTGACGCGCTCGTGACGACTCCAAGATGTCCACAACAGCTTGGTGAAGCATAGCCATGGAGTATTTGGTATGAGTCTTGGCAGAGTTGATGTCTACTTACCAGCAAGATCTGGAGCCGAGCCATCTTTCGAAGCCTCAGCAGCGTTCTTGATGAGCTTCTTGAGGCCCTTGTAGTTGATATAAGACGCCGCCCATTCCGGGACCTGGTTCCTTGGTAGGTTGTGTCCGAACTTCATCCTGGGGGCGAAGCAACAATCGGTTGACAACTGGATCCGGGTAGAGCTTGATATTGAGCGCGAGGGTAGCTCTGAATCGTATATAAAACTAGCTCTAGGCAGGCGAGGGCGGCAAAAGGAACGAAATATAGGCAGCGGTAGGATTGAATGATCGGCAGGGCAAGAGCCAGAGAGTCAATTCCATGCGGCCTGCGCAATCAACGCGTTAATGTTGAATCTTTAGGGTGTGCTCGAGGCGTCCATTCTCATTGGAGGAGACGGAGCTCGACAAAAGCGCGCCTGCAACATGGTTAAACGGACTGTCAAAAGTAGGGAAAGCCGTAGCTCGAGGCAGGGGAAGTACACTGGAGCGGCGGAATCGCTGGTCAGTGTTATCGGTGCGGAGCTGGACGGGTGAGTGAAAGACGTTGAGATGAAAAGAGACGTGGTTGGTGCGTCGCAGTGATCCCCAATGACGTATGGCGACGGAGCGCTTTGTTCAGTCACTCCCGCCAGCGCGCGCAGAATCTCGTCTGCCTTTATACTCGCCGTCGCTGCAAAGCTTTGAATGTCTCGGTTCAGCGGTGGATCCCTGCCCCAATTATCACATCCTAATGCGTCACGCTTCAGCGCCTCTCGCATCGGCGGGTCACGGCGGTGTACCATGTATGTTTGTCAGCTTGGCTCGCGACGGACATTGCACGCGAAAAAGCTTCTTCTTGGCACTGCATAGAGCAACTTGTGCGAGTATGAAGCGCGACACAACTAGGCATGGTGCTGGTAGCAATCGTGAAGACTCTGGCGCGGGTGCACCGCGGGGCCAACATGGGTAAGCATACACGCGACTACCTTCCATGGCGGGATGCATGTCATTAGCAGTGCATGGAAGTGCATATGGGGGCACGGTAGCTGGTCCGGGTCACACCGCATCGAAGACTGATT